TAAATTCAATGTATTCAATTTACTCATTCAAATGACTCCTCCCCACCAATTAACGTGTTGCAGAAAACCAACATTATATATAAATTTAAATGTCCCTTGAGAGATTGTATCTCCATCAGAAAAAATATTTATCTTGGTCACACTTCAACTACGTTGTCTCAGTGGTTGAATTTTCATTTGAATGATGCATCTATCATTTCTAAATATTTACAACAGCATGGCTGTCCACATTCGAAATTTAGAAAACTTCTTGTTTGAAAATACATCTATATTTTTTCATGAAAATAAAATAATAAACATTAACTAAACATTCTTGAAGCTATCTATATTAAATAATTGAAACCAACACTTAATAAAATCAATTATGAATACTGCACAAATGTTTTAAAATGTTTACAGTAGATAGTTTTAAAATATCTAGGTTTTAACTAATAGCTTTAAATAGATTTTAAAAAAAATGTACACATCTTAATAACGTTGTTACCCCCTTGACGTTACTACACGAGTATGCCTACATCTTACAATTTAACATCGCACACTAAGTAATTTAGCGTTTTTCACTTTACAAATAGAAAAATTATTTTCAGATAAACACAACTAATTTGTCTTAGATAAAAACAAGTCCCTGAAGATGACATTTTGCTAATGTCGAAAGTACTCGGGATATATGAATAATACATCAATATGGTAACTTTCTTTCTTACTAACAATTTACTTTCTTTCTTTCTAACAATTTACTTTTGTAAATTTTAAATTTCTTTACGATTTACTTTATTAAAGTAATTTTAAAATATTCAATAATTAAGGATTTAATCCTTGATAAATTACTTTTATTCGGTTATAAAAAAAGAAAATTATGTTTTTTTTTTCTAGTGCTGAGTTGTCTCGGTCCTGAATTGTCCCGGCGCATAGACGGTGGTATTCCGTCGGCGATGTTGAGTTGACGGTGTTAAGTTCTCCTGCACCCGTGTCCTGCTTTGCTAAACCGAAATATGTCCAATACAGGGCACACTAATAGATCAAATCGACGAAAAAACAAAATCGTAACGCGGCAGGTTCTAGCACATCATCCATAGACAACATATTTAACAATAGATTTTCATTTGTTTCGAACTTTATAGAATGTCATCATTTGCAGAATATTCAGAAACAAAGAGGAGGTCGAAAACAGATTTTTGACACTTCGTTTTTGCATATTTCTTTAAAGGCAGAATCTAAAATTCGCCTTCACTGAAAATAAAAGTGATTATAATTTATGATGATGCAATTGAAAAATAAATTCA